CTACAAATATCTCAATTTCGTTTCTTTTTATGGCTCAGTAATATTCCATTGTACATATGGTCACCTTATCTTTGATAAAGGAGGCAAGAATATACAGTGGAGAAAAGACAGCCTCTTCAGTAAGTGGTGCTGGGAAAACTGGACAGCTACATGTAAAAGAATGAGATTAGATCACTCCCTAACACCACACACAAAAATAAACTCAAGATGGATTAAAGACCTAAATGTAAGGCCAGACACTATCAGACTCTTAGAGGAAAACATAGGCAGAGCACTCTATGACATAAATCACAGCAAGATCCTTTTTGACCCGCCTCCTAGAGAAATGGAAATAAAAACAAAAATAAACAAATGGGACCTAATGAAACTTAAAAGCTTTTGCACAGCAAAGGAAACCATCACCTTTCATAACAAAGCCATCCAGGCCTCCGCCTCAAGGGAGGCAACATCTTGCTGAAAGGTGAAAACACTGCTGTTCTCATTAGACTTGGTCTTGCAGTGACCTTCACTAGTATCCACTAGTGAAAAACTAGTGGATACCAGTGTTTCATATACAGTCATAATTAAAGCTTCCTGTTAAAATAACACTTAAGCTTCAAAAGGTAAGTCCAGTTCACGTAATAGAACAGACGGTCCTGGGATGTCGCAAATATTCTCTTGCTCCAGGCAAGGACCATGTCCAACTCATCTTGGTGTCTCAGAGCCTGTTCCAGCCCTGGAGGCTCACCAAGGGTTTGCCTGGATTGAATTAAACTAGCAAACCTGGCAGAGTCCACCGGTTTCAAGGCCTATTTGAAGGACACATGCAAACGAGACCTTGGCTTCTGTATTCCTCTCCCTCTTCTACCCTCCTGGTAAAGAGGGTGGCCAAGACCCTGCTGGTCTCCAAGGGTCACCCAAACACAGGGATTTTCCCAATCGCTCTGAAAAATACATTAATAATGGAGGCCACTTACTGACCAATATGCCCTGGAACCTGTTCCCCTGGGCACTGGACACTTTCAAATGACAGCTCAGGGAGGCATGTTAAATGCACCCCCCTCACAATCAGGAAACAGAAAGAGCCCCTCTTCTGTGCTGTGTCCCATACCAGCTCTCTCATCCAGACCCTAATTAGGATGGATGGCTGTTCTCCGCCCCGGGACTGGAAGAAAGCCTGGAATCATCTTAGTTGAGAAGTCTCCAGCCCCAAGAACTGTCAGAACTGCCGCCTGGATGAGCAGAAAAGAGCAGATGATAAATTTTTTAGGACTACCCTCTGTGTGCCAGTTGTTGCTGATTGTGAGATAATGTGCTGGCCTTTTGGGGGACATGCATTATTGATCTGGGTCTGTCTGGTGGTTTATAAAAATCCCACCCTCCCTCCACTACCACCTTGCCATCATCCCTCACCTCCTAAAAGAAGCACAGCCTCCTCCAAATGCTGTTGGAGGGGCTGGCTCCTTCGCAGAAGGGAAGACTTGTAGGCACCGATCTGATCTGTGCAAGTGAGTGCTGCGGGGGGAAAGTGACAGATACCATCAAACACGAGGGATCCAAACCTACTGCGTCCACTTCCCAGAATTTATCTTTCAGAAATCCTCGCTCACCTATGCCAAGATGCACGTATAAAGACATTTTCAGCAACGGTATTGGTAATAGTGGAAACTAGTAACAAACACACTCCCAATCTGGAAACAATTGAATAGCCATCCCAGGAGACTGGTTAAGTAGAGTAGTGGTTAAGACCATAGGCTCTGGGTTCAAATCTTATTTAGCCACGTTCTAGCTGTGTGACCTTGGACGAGTGACTTCATTTCTCTGGGCCTCAGTCTCTCCATCTAAAATGAAGAGAATGGATCTGGGTGTTTTAAGTTAGCCCTGGTTTTCTCTGCTTTCCTCTCTCCCACGTCCTCATGACACCTGAAGGCCCTTTCCTTATATTTGCATAAGCTGCTGGCTTTATTCGAGAGTCACAGGTGCAAACTTACAATCAGATTCTGACATGAGGCTTAGTTAGATCACACAGCTGCAGCAAAAATGCGGCGCTCCTAAGAGTGCGTGTTCAGTCATTCACCCTGGTTCCAGCCAAAGATCTAGGAGTCACCACTAATGCTCCTGCTTTCCTCACCACCCACAGCCCCCATCCAACCCGTTCATGCATGTCTTCCGGGTTCCACTGTTCCTGCGCTGGTCCAGGCTTCCATCCTCGCCTGCCCCGTTATGGTCCTGTCCTCCTAACGTCATTTATTTCAACGTAACAGCCAGAGGGATCCTACTGGAACCTAAGTCAGGTCACAGCCCCTCCTTTGCTCAAGGCCCATTTTCACTCATGTCTGTTTCACTAAGAATAAAACTCAAAACCCTCACCATGGCCACAAGGTCCCGCATGACCTGGCCTCATCACTCTCCACTTATACCCTGGGTCCGTCCACCTGGCTCACAGGCATTCTTTCTGTCCCGACCCACAAAGCTCATTTCTAACTGTCTTTGCCTTTCCTGTTCTCTCCAGCTGGAGGGATCCTTCCCCAGATCTCCTGCTCCCAGCACAGTGCACTGCACAGAGTAGATGCTTAATCAATATCTGTTGAATGCATGAATAAACGTCCGGGGGGGGTCCCAGGCAGAACTACGATGGAAAGAGCTTGAGGGGCCCCATGAGACAAGACCAAGGTGCCCTGAGGTCAGGTGCTGCCTGTGGGCACTCTTTGCAAAATTCTGCCAGAAACAAAACTCACAGTCCTATGGACACTTTCTGTAGGCTCCCTATGGCTATCGAATGTGGCTCATTCTAAATGCTGCCTGTGAGATAGGTATCATATGTGTCAAACTGTCAATAAAAGCCCTGGGCTTTGATTGCTTCTTGGCTGCAAATTCTTTTTGCACAGATAAATTCCCTGAGAAACATCTATACTTGTGATCATTAATACAAACCATTATAAGGAATGGCTTGGATGTATAGAAATCACCTTTACTTGGTGCTTAAAAGACTGGTTCATATTTTTAATAATGGATCCAAAAAGGGTGCAGACTTGCAGTTGGATCTTCACTGCAATCTTATGTTTGGCTGCAAAGGCTTCTCCAGTAAACCTTGAAATTTGTTGCGACCAACAACAGTCAGTTGCCCTTCGATAGTGGGCAGAGGCTAAAGGCCCACCACTCACCTGGTCAACTACTGGCACTCCTTACCACAACCCACGAGAACCTCCAAGATCTGGCTCCCTTCCTTCTCTCCAGGGTCATGCTATGACCCTTCCTCAGGCTCCAGCCACATCTGTCTCCTTGGTCCTGCCTCAGGGCCTTTGCACACGCTGTTCCCTCTGCTTGGAAGGCTTTTCCCCAGATCTTCACAATACCCAGTAGTATGTCTGTCATCATCACTGATGATGAGAAGGGAAATCTAACTTATAGGATAAGGAAAATGCAGAGGTTGTATGCTGTCCAGTACGGTAGCTATAAATGGTTACTGAGCACTTGAAAGGTAGCGGGTCCTGAGATGTCCTCTAAGTGTAAAGTACATGCCAGATTTTAAAAGCAATATAAAAAATGTAAACTATCTCATTAATGATTTTTTATATTGATTATATGTTAAGATGACAATAATTTGGATATATTGGGTTCAGCAAAATATGTCTTTAAAATTAATTTCCCTTGTTTCTTCTTACTTTTTAAAAAAGTATAGAAGATTTAGAATTACTTATGTGATTTGCATTTGTGGCTCGCCCCCCTAGATGCATCTCTAGGGCAGCGCTGTGTAGGGTTTAATGTGGAGAAATGGAACCAGTAAAATCAGTGAATTCGAAGGGCAAGAAGACACAAGAAAAGGAGAAAGAAGACTGACATTGAGAGAGACCCCCAGAGGTAAGCTGGAAATATAGGTGGAGTTTGACCCCGGGGAACAGAAGGTCCAGCTGAGGTTGACCCTGGGGGCCTCCTTCCTGGTGGCCTCATTTATGGGGACCTCTTCTCAGGTGAATGAAAATGTGGTGAGAAATGCCTCATGTAAATGAAGACGCCCAGCTGGGTGGAGGAGCCCAGGGCCTTGCTTAGCAGGGACGGGGAGAAGTCTAGGATGGTTTACACAGTGAAGCGAGGATACGGCTCAGGGAGGATGCTGTGTGGGCGATAAAGGGAGGGTGCCCTTTTCCTGCTTGCCATCGGTATAAATGAACTATATCTTGGCAAGGGCCCCTGTCCTCACCCGCTCTCCTTGGAGCCCACAGCACTAAGAGGGAAAGCAGCTCAGGACGAGAGGCGGCTGCCCTCACCCTCCTGAAGCACCAAATCTGTGAATTGAGTTGGGTCACTAGCAATAGGGCCCACCTTCCCTGCCCCTAGATGCCACCAAGGAAGGCCGAGCCCACCCAAACCTGTTAAGATTGGTGGAGCAGGGGTGCACACACACACACACACACACACACACACACACACACACACACACACAACGCACACACATGCCCCAGGCTGGTTTCTTCTTTCTGTTCAGCGTCAGCTCAAATATCACCTCCTCTAAGGGGCCCTCCCTGATAACTAATCCAAAACAGCTCTGACCATCCCTCCCCCTGCATCCAGCACCCTCTTCAGTTACCCCAGAGCATTTCTCCCTTCTTGAAATTATCCTCCATGTGAACTAGCAATGATTCTGATTATCTGTCTCCCTCATTCCATGGGAGTAGAGACTGTGCCTGCCTGACTCACTACTGAAGTTCCAGGCCCTAGAATATTGCCTGGAATGTAGTAGGTTCTCAATAGAAATTGGACAGAAATAATGAATTGGTCTTAACATCTCTTCTCCTTAAGACTTTGGAGGAATCTAGGAATGGTCCCGCATTAGAGAAAGGTTGGAGACCCCTAACCTCGAGGACCCAGCTGTGCATTCACGCGTGTGGGACCACCCCAGGACTTGGTTCAATCGACTGGACATGAACCCTGCAGGGTCTACCCGAGCATCCTGCATCAGGATCCTGAGACCCAGCACGGTGAGCTTGGTAGATACCGCCTGCCAGCGGCCAGGGTCTTACCGAGCTCCACATCCTGGTCGTCCGTCAGCACCAGGATGATGTTGGGACGGATGTTTCTGCGGTCCCTCTGAAACCTGCCTTTCAGCCGGTGGTGGGACAGGAACGCCACACTTCCATCCAGGAGAGAGAAGACAGTTGCAGAGAGCAAGCAAAGCAGGACACCGGGGGGTGCCATTTTATGTTTCCACTGATCCCTTGCTTCTGGCAGGATGCAGGAGTCTGGAGTTGTGTTTTGTGGATTTGTTTCTTTTCTCTCCTCCCTCTCTACTCACCGATCTAAAGTCAGAGGAAAAGATTCAGGTCAATCTTTTTGTAAAGGCCGCCCAACTGCTCAGACTTGCATAATGATTTCTACGATGCCTTCTGGCAGTGACAGTGAGAGTTTCTTTGATCAGGGACAGCTATAGCAGAACAAAAACCCAACTCGGCTAAAGTTACAAGAAAAGTATTTGCAACTGGCTCAGAGAATAGACTGGCAGGAAAGCCTTCGGAGACTACCTCTGCAGACAGAATTCCTCTCTTGGACCCAGCGATCCTCTGGATACGTTGGTGGCAGCCCAAGTCCCAAGTCAGGTAGCCAGCCTGTCTCTGAACCATCCAACCAATGCAAGACAAATCGCCTCCCAGTGAAAGGAAAGGAAAAAGCCCAGTCTGGAGGAGCAGACATTTCTGGTCATCTGTTCTCTGCCAGCACCATGGAGGACGCAGAGGTGAGTGGACGGAGCCCCAGCTCTCAGGTAGCGTGCGATTTGGGGAGGGGTATGGACGAGCCGGGCTGATGCTTTGGGCTGGACAACTCTGTGTTTCAGGCCTGGCTCCGTCACTCAGCAGCTGGGTCTTCCCATCGATAAGCCAGCGAGGAACCTCAGTATCCCCATGAATAAAATGGGGATACGTGACTGTTATAAGAACTCAATCCAACGGGGATGCTCGCAAAGGTCCCCCCGTCAACAGATCCTGTAACTGGGCAAGTTATTCATATTGGTTTTTACGTGGCAAAATAAACAAAATGACAACAGAGGAAACTGAGAGCTAAAAAGCTGAGGGAGAAGAATTGTCACATTCCACTGCAACCTTGGTCACCCCCTTGACCCCGGGCCAGATGGGGTCACAAGCAAAGGTAGGGCGGGGGACGCGGGCCAGCTAATCTTGGTTCAGGCGGGTCTCAGATCTCGCTCTGCTCTTTGCTCTCTGCGGTCATTTTTCTACTTCCTGAGGAAATAAGCCTTCAAGTCCTGTCCAGATATAGACTTTTGGTCTCATTTGTCTAAAAGGAAAGAAAAAGCAAGCAAGCAGACGTGTTGGGAGGAAACCAAGGTTGTTGGAGTCGGGCTGAGTCACCGTTCCCGTGACCTTGAACGACTCCAATTGGCCCTGCTGTCATGGGGAACCCCACCCCACCCCAAGCCACAGCTCAGGGGACTCATCATGGATCCCAGGTTCCGCACAGGGGGATGTGCTGCCTGTATCATCTCTCCCAGGGACAGCACCAGCCGTCTAAGGGGTCTCCCACTTCCTCCCCTGCCCCCACCCTCCATGTCCCCAGGGGGCAGCCAGCAGGATCTTTCTAAAATTCAAATCCAAACATACAACTCACAGGGCCTGGACTAGGTGAGACCAGGGAGGTGCTCAGGGCACAGGTCTGAAGGGGCACCCACTCCAGGTGGACGGGTGCAAGGCACTCAGCTCACCTTAGTCCCAGCCCTGTCATTCACCTGCTCAGACCCTCCCCTGGCTTCTCATAGCTTGGGGTCCAAAATGCAGACTCCCCACCAAGCCCACACAGGGCGGGTGTGATCCGACCCCTGCCCTCCTCTCCCCGGTCCTCTCAATTGCTCTCAGGCCCCTGGCTTCTTTCTGTCACTTAGACAAGTCAAGCTTGTTCCTGCCCTAGGGCCTTTGCACTTGCTCCTCCTTAAACCTGAAGGAATGTTTCCCCAGATTCTGTTTGATGGGCTCCTTCTCCTCTGCCAGGTCTTGGTACAAATGTCGCCTCCTTGGAGAGGCCTGCCCTAACTGCCCTAGCTGAGGTGCTGCCCCCGCCCCAGGCACTCTCTGTGTTTTATAACCTGTTTTATTTCCTCACAGTCCCTACTACACCTGCAGTTACCTTATTTATTGCCCAGTTCTCCCCTTGGAAGGGTCACAGCTCCACGAGGGCAGAGGCTAGCATTGTGTTGCTCACAGCTCTGTCCCCAGCACCTAGGACCATGCCTCGCACAGAATAGTGCCAAATAAATATTCAGATAAATAAAGGAATGGAGATTTTGGTGAGGTTCTCTGTGTTCTACAGAGTGAGAGAAGGCTGAGAATAGAGAGCAAGCTCCACACAGGGCTTCCTACCCCAGGGGCCTCTGAAAGGACATCTGTGCAGGGAGATGAGATGAAGCCCACATTATCGGGAAGCTGACCTGGGAACTGTGAGTTTCATGGGACTGGCGGACAGGCATCGACTTCCACCTCCATCTCCTTATCTGCTAAAGCCCACATCTCGCAAAGTCAGCCAGGGTGACTGCAGTGACATGTGTTGGGCGGCTGCTTTGTGCCCATGTTATATGATACTTAATTCATGGACTTTAAAGTTACTTGCTGGGTGTCCCTAGGCAAGTAACTCAACCCTTCTATGCCTCGGTTTCCCCATCTATAAAACGGACATGAAGGATTAAATGAGTTAAGGCAGAATGCTGAGTCCGGAGCCTGGCACATGGTGTGTACTGACTGGAACACATCATTCACGGTGAAAACCATTATTAGATTATTATCAGCACCACTGCAGCTGGGTCCCATGTCAGGCACTCCACAGCATCTCCCTCAATCTCCCCAATAACCCTCTAACACAGGTACTACTATTATCCCCATTTAAAAACTGAGAACAGGGTTTCCCTGGTGGCACAGTGGTTAAGAACCTGCCTGCCAATGCAGGGGACACAGGTTCGAGCCCTGGCCCAGGAAGATCCCACATGCCATGGAGCAACTAAGCCCATGCGCCACAACTACTGAGCCTGAGATCTAGAGCCCGTGAGCCACAACTACTGAGCCCGCATGCCACAACTACTGAGCCCGCACACCTAGAGCCCGTGCTCCACAACAAGAGAAGCCACCACAACGAGAAGCCCTCGCACAGCAATGAAGAGTAGTCCCCGCTCACCGCAGCTAGAGAAAGCCCAGGCGCAGCAACAAAGACCCAACGCAGCCAAAAATAAAAGCAAACAAATAAATTAATTAAAAAAAACAAAACAAAACTGAGAACAACTGAGGCATAATCACTGTCCTAAGGTCACCTGGAGAGAAAAGAGCAGGGACAGTGTTTGACCTCTGTTCTCCCTGACAGCTTGGTGAGGGCCTCTCACCACTGAACTCATGTTTCCCAGCTTCTCATATTCAGGGGCCATAGCCCCAATTTCTGCCGGCTCTGCACAACCCTTCCGCTATCATTTGGTTCACATGCTCCTTTAAATAGCCTCATTTAAAAATAAAGACATAAACACATGGTTTTGAAAAAGACGAAACGCATGGTTTTGAAAAAGACGACTTTCTATCCAAGAATAAATGGAAAAGCAGCGTCCCTTTCCTGTAGAAATAATCACACAAATAAAGTCAAACAGAGCAGAAACTGTGTTAACTCCGTCCGTCTAACAGCTTCTAGTTCACATTTAAGGCTCTAAGCTGAGCTCTGGGCTGGCAGCTCTCATACTTGCACTGTCTCTCTGTTTAAGGGAAATTAGCAGGTGTTGAAAGGCAACGAGGCACATTACGCACCATCCAGAGACTTTCTGCTGGAGGTAATGGGAGGCTTGAGAGGGTTGAAAAGGAGATGCGCCCTAGACTCTAATGTGTCCCTGAATTATCCCAAATCATGGGGGGTGGGGAGGATCCTTGAATCATGTTGTTTATCAGTCCATGTCTCCCTACCTCGGGAAATACACTGGGATGCTTTGTGCTTTGCAACTGAAACCGAGAGCTTGACTGACACTCCAGCCAGCCCATTCATAAAACAAACTTCCCAGTCGAAAAATAGGCAGAAGACCTCAATAGACATTTCTCTAAAGAAGACATACAGATGGCCAAGAAGCACATGAAAAGCTGCTCAACATCACTAGTTACTAGATAAATGCAAATCAAAACTACAATGAGGTATCCCCCTCACACTGGTCAGAGTGGCCATCATCAAAATTCGACAAATAATAAATGCTGGAGAGGGTATGGAGAAAACAGAATCCTCCTACACTGTTGGTGGGAATGTAAATTGGTGAACAGTATGGAGTTTCCTTAAAAAAACCAAAAACAGAGCTACCATATGACCCAGAAATCCCACTCCTAGGCATATATCTGGAAAAGATGAAAACTCGAATTCAAAAAGCTACATGCACCCCAATGTTCACTGCAGCACTGTTTACAATAGCCAAGCCATGGAAACAACCTAAATGTCCATCACAGGTGAATGGATAAAGAAGATGTGGGATATAAATACAATGGAGTACTACTCAGCTATAAAAAGGAATGAAACATTGCCATTTGCAGCAACATGGATGGACCTAGAGATTATCATACTAAGTGAAATAAGTCAGACAGAGAAAGGCAACTATCATATGATAGCACATGTGGAACCTAAAAAACTGATACAGATGAACTCATTTACAAAACAGAAATAGACTCACAGACAGAAAACTTACGGTTACCCAAGGGAAAAGGGGAGGGGTGAGGGATAAATTAGGAATACAGAATTAACAGATACACATCACTATATATAAAGTAGATAAACAACAAGGATTTACTGTATAGTACAGGGAACTATATTCAGTATCTTGTAATAACCTATAATGGAAAAGAATCCAAAGCTGTACACCTGAAACTAACACAATATTGTAAACCAACTACAGTTAAATAAAAAAAAAAAAATACACATTCATGTTCCTTCAGATAGACATCAAGTGATAAAATAATAGCGAATTTCTGACGGATGCCCTACAAACAGCAACTCTCATACCAGAAATAGTAACAGCAAATGCTTATTGAGGGCCTGCAACGCTCCAGTCCCTGCTCTAAGCGTTTTATGTATTGATATATCAACTTGTCTAATCCGCATATCCACCCATCGATATTATACCCATTTTATGGATGAGGAAGCTGAGCCACAGAGAATTAAAAGCACTTTCCCATGATCACATGGGCAAATAAGGGTCAGAGACTGGGTTC